GCAAGCAAGGCAGGAAAGAAGATAATGGAGGCTTCCGGCTTCGGTGACTGGGAGGGTTGGGGGAGAAGATGATTAATTTGCTTTAGGAAATGTGGATTTGGAGATGCTTGGAGTATCTGGGTGAAAAAAGTATAACAGGAAATTGAATATCTGTGTCTGAAATATAGAAGATACTGAAGAAGGAAAGTAATTGCATTTGTGCCAGGTGTGTGTGCATGTGTGTGTGTATGTATGTATGTATAATATATAAACACCAGAAATTTAATTCTGCCAGTTTTCAATGCTGAGAAGTCCAAGATCACAGTGTGCACAGCTTCCGTGTCTGGTGAGACGCATGTTCTGGTTCATAGGAGGCCATCTTTCTCTGTGTTCTCACCCATCAGAAGGGGCAAGGGGCCTCTCTCAGGCCTCTGTCACAAGGGCATTCATCTCATTTAGGAGGCCTCTGCCTTCTGACCTAATCAGCTCCCTAAGGCCCCACCTCCTAATGCCATCACCTTAGAGATTCAGATGCCAGCTTATGAATTTGGGGGGAAATAAATATTCAGTCCTCAGCACAGGCCTAGTAATTATTCCCCTCAGAGGAGTATCTCATCTCACCCAGCATCCAGACAACAGAGCTTCCTTAGTGAGTAAAATGTTTTCTACTCAACCTTCTATTAGGGGCATAATCCATCCACAGACCTGGCTTTATGTGCGTTTATGTTTGCGTGCCTGATCCTTCCTCTTCTCGCATCAAAAGGAGTGAAGCTTGGAAAGATGCTTACCTGGCTCTGTGGACCAATAGCAGGGCCCCCTCCCCCACAGCTGACACATTGGATCACAAAGTGGAGCCCTGTTCGCAACTTCCTCTTCACTCTGAGGCCTCTCCTTTTCTCTCTCCTGAGTCTGGCCAGACCGTCCCACGTCCGGGTGTTTGCAGAACAAGGGTGTTTGGACTTTGTGGTCTACATTTTGTCTGGACCAGGAGCTGTCATATCCTTAGCAGTTGCAACTTGCTTTGTTAACAGTGAGAAAACGCATAGGCATTGAGCAAACAATAATCTTTTGTGGGTTTTTTTAGTGCAGTATTTTTTCATGCTTTCTATACATGAAAAATAATTCTGCTTCTCTATTATTGTATTTTAAAGTATAATAAAATAAAATTTTAAAATAAAATAAATTTAAGAATTCTGGGAAGATGGCCATGGTCATGGACACATAGTTTTTGTCTTCCAGAATCTCCACATAAACACAGAGCATAATGTATTAAAACCAAAACCCGTGGGAAATATTGATAACA